TAAAGGTCTACAGCAAAAGTTGTCACAGAAGTTGGGAGCTTCAGCCTCCCAAGTGAGAAGCTGGGAGCCAGCGCTCTTCTGCCCATTCCTGGTAACCGCCCTGCCCAGGGGGGGCTGCCTAATTTAACAGCACAGCAAAAATACAGCTTGAGCTTTATCAGCCTGGGAGGACTTCTAGAAAACTGCTCCAAACAAAAGCAGGGCTTGAACATAAAGTCTCAGTCCCAAAGTCCACAGGGTTTGCTCAGTTAGTGGTTACTCCTCTTGCTCTGCTTTAGGGCAAGTTTATTGGTTTTTTTTGAAGCCAAGTAGGCTGAATCAATCTGCAGCCCTGTCACAGGGCAAAGCACAACTGTTTCAACACCATTACAAACAACCCCTTTACTCAGTTATTTTACTTCTAGATGGGTGGGAAAAACTCAAACTGCAGAGTTTCTTACTGGCCTTGGTGTCAGGGTTAGCACACAGAGACACACTGCAGCAAAAAAAGAGGAGAGGACTCTTGTTGCTAGCATAAGTAAGGAGTAATTCCTTGGCTGATGTAAAAACTAGTGTAAGTTTAGAATCAACCCCTGAAGTACTAGGAGCCCATCTTAATTATGGATGCAACTGCGTCAGTGACAATCCTTGCAGCACAGTCATGTTAGAACATGGTTTGCTCTCCTCTGCGTAGGAGGAATTGGGGTGTGTTGAAACACCAGTATCTGTGGTGTGGGGAAGTCTTCATGAGCCCACAGCATGGTTTTATTTTCTCTTTCTACTCTCTCCCCTGCAAAAGTGCTGAGCAGACTTTGTTTTACTTCAGAGATTGCAGGAAAGCACAGTGCTTAGCAACTCTCAGTTGTTTCAGAATCCTCTGGAGAAAGGCACAGCTTCGAGGCAGGGTAGTTGCAAGTAGAAGTCCCAGCAGGCAGACCCCACGCATGGGAACCACCAGGCAGAAGAGCACCATTTCCTTTGGTTACAGTTTGCTTTGTATGAAAATGATGATTAGATGATTTCATACCATTGCTACATCAGAAATATTAGGTCACTGCTGGAGAAAGTTCTTGAGACAGGTAGTTTCAGAAAGATGAAACTCTTCGGTGCACATTTCTAGCATGGCACAATAGCGTCACTGCTGATCATTGCCCAATTTGGCACAAGTCTGAACTCAGTGAAACAGCAAGGGCAATGGCACCAAAACTGCCAAGCTGCTATCCGTTTTCCCTGCCTTGGTCAGACTGTCAGAGCCAGTGCAACATGCTAGCTTGGCAGAAGAGCAACCACTTTCCTGCTGGGCTAGGCACCTCCCTTGACTTCTGTCACTCTGACAATGACCAGCATACATAAAAGTAGTTATTTAACTTGTGTAAGGTTATTATTTTTCCTGTGGAAGGAAGCTCTGCCCCTTGGACACAGCCTGCAGTTATGTTGTCATGCAGACTGAGCGCTAGGGTCTTGTTCAGGAAGCTTTTCTCCCCTCCAAACGTGTTTTACCTTGGGAAGACAGATTGAGCCATAGCTAGCATTCCTGGTTCAATAGCTTAACTGACAATTCCTTAATGACCATTTAGGAAAACAAAGCTAAATTTAGTGCTTTAGATATGAGCATGGAGGGCTAATCAGGGCAGAGGTATTAATTTGTGGTTAAAGCACTTATTTACATTCTTTTCAAGATTTGCCACTGATACCCCAGTTACCATAAATGCACTCAGCAGAACCAGGTCACAGGATGTCTGCTGCAGTGGGGAATGGCACTGCCCGCAACTGAGGGAGTTGTTTGCAAGTGTTCTGAGGGCACAGTTAGTTTTAGGAGGATCAGATGATTTTCAGCTTTGACCTTAGGACATCAGTTTTAGAGTTGCTGGCAGAGGTGCCCATCTAACCTGATGGAAAAGCCATCAGCATTAGGGAACCTCAAAGATTAAAGCCACTTTTGCAGATGGACGCAGGGTTTTCCCACCACACCTCCAATGGAGACTAAGCACCACAGCCATTACTAGGTCAGTAACTCTTTCGGATAGTGAGTATATAAGCTATCCAAGCTACTAGAATTTGGAGGTGTTTTAAGAAAGAAGGGAGAGAGTTTAATTAAAACAGCTTTTGGGCTTTCCAGTACTTTCCATTTACCAATTTTTCTATGAGGACAAAACTCTGAGTTTCAGATAGAAGCTATAACACACATTTTCATCTGGAAGTTTCAGCAGAACCAGCTTTAGTAATTGAAGTCCTTCAGAGCCATACACAGTTTCAGGTAGTCACAACCACATGTAAGAACCCTGTTAGTCTTGAGAAACACTAAGCTAGTTTGCCAAGTGCTGCCTCCAGCAAGCTGGCAGAGCCATGCACGGCTGCAGCCTCCATCTGCAGAGACAGTGCTCTTGAGCAAGAGAGAAGTTACCTTGTCACTCAAGCCACCCCCTTCATTAACACTATTATCATGGCTACACCAAATGATCATGTGAAATAGCTACAGGCAGGTCTGGCAGCACTGTCAACAGGAAGGGAATGCCCAACTGATCTGTCTGCCTCCTGAGGCATGTACTGCTTCCCCCAACATCAGCACAAGTCAGCAGTACTGCACAGGGTGCACATCACACGCTGTGCCTGCATGCCTGGGTGGGAGAGCCACCTCCTGCGGACCCCCTCCCACAGCTTTGATCTTCACCAGACAACAAACAGAAAAGAGCTTTCAGACCTGAAGCTGCTCAATCACAAACTGGAGACCCATAGTGTTACCAAGAAGTCATCTCAGGGTTAGGAAAAAGCCTTTAGGGAAGGATTTGAAGCCTTTCAGCTCTTCCCCAAGGTACAGCAGATGCAGCATGACACCATAAGTTGTCACCTTTAGCCTCAAAAAGCCAAGACACCTCCCACCCACAGATGGGGGAAAGCAGCAGAGGCACAGCACACGGCTCTGTGCTTTCCCAGGGAGCTGGAAAAGCCCCATGGGCACAGCTGGGGGAACACAGCCCCTCAGCAGGTACATTTTAGCCTTCGTGCTCCCCGGGGCCAGGAGCCAAGGGCTCTAGGGATGGAGCCAGCTCCGAGCCCAGCCTCCACCCTCCGTCCCTGGGAGGGCTGCAAAGAGCCACCTGAGGCAAGGGGCTGCAGAGCCCCTGGGGAAGCAAGGGGCAGCCTTGGGGAG